TCCAGTATGAATTAGTAGATGGGCAGTAAGGCCTGAACAGTCTCTAAATGCTTTGCCACATTCATTACATTTGTAAGGTTTCTCTCCAGTATGAACTCTTTGATGTCGTGTAAGGCATGAAAGTCGACTAAATACCTTGCCACAGTCACTGCATTTGTAAGGTTTCTCTCCAGTATGTATTCTCTGATGTTGTGCAAGGTGTGAATTGTAACTGAAGACTTTGCCACATTCATTACATTTGTAAGGCTGCTCTCCTGTGTGTGTTCTATGATGATTGGTTAGACAAAACTTGTGCCTGAAGACTTTGCCACATTCTTTACACTCATAAGGTTTCTCTCCAGTATGGATTCTTTGATGTCTGGTAAGGTGTGCATTTCGATTGAAGACCTTGTCACATTTATTACATTTGTAAAGTTTCTCTCCAGTGTGAATTACAAGATGAGCAGTAAGGCCTGAACCCCCTGAAAATGCTTTGCCACATTCCTTACATTTGTAAGGTTTCTCTCCACTATGAATTTTCTGATGTCGTGCAAGGTGTGCATTTCTATTGAAGACCTTGCCACACTCATCACATTTGTAAGGTTTCTCTCCAGTATGGATTCTGTGATGATTTGCAAGGTGAGAATTTTGAGTGAAGACTTTGCCACACTCATTACATTTGTAAGGTTTCTCTCCAGTATGGATTCTCTGATGTCGTGCAAGGAGTGAAATTCGATTGAAGAGCTTGCCACATTCATGACACTTGTAAGGCTTCTCACCAGTATGAATTCTTTGATGTTGTACAAGGTTTGAACTGTTACTAAAGACCTTGTCACATTCATTACATTTGTAAGGGTTATCTGCAGTGTGGATTACTTGATGGTTAGCAAGGCCTGAAGACACACTAAAGACTTTGCCATGCTCATTACATTCACAAGGTTTTTCCCTAATTTGTGCTTTTTGCTCTTGTGGGAGAAATGGAGAATCATCAAAATCATTTCTATATTTATTTAAAATGTGGGATTTGACAGTAAGATAAATTTTTTGAAGTGGTGAAACTAAGGAATTGTTGTTGATAGGTTTTTCGACAGGTTTACATCCAGAAATATTCCTTTCAGCTTGAAATACCTGCAGTTCACTCAGATGTAACTGAAAGGTTAATCCAAGTTGATTTTTAAGAGATTTGTTTTCTGTATTGCTTCCCAATTTTGAGCTGCTCTCTAAAAAAGAAAGAAAAAAGTGGAACTTCAACCCATGACAATGGCATGTTCAGTGTCTGACAGAGAGCCCAGATTCTGCCTCACCTGACTCAGACACTGGAAGGAATATGAGCATACTGTATCATACTGGCAGTACAGAAAACAAAAGGGATGGAGGGATGCATTAGAGCCGTGGGGAACCTGCAGGAGTCAGGTGGATTGTGGGTGAGTTTGAGAGAAATGATGAGCAGAGAAATACAACAGAAATTGAAAGCTTCTGAGAAAAAGCAGGGATGAGCCTCTTACAGAAAATCAGAACTTTTAGATCAGCTGTATAGTCATCAGTAATAGTACTTCCACAAGCCAGAAAAAAACACATCCCCAGAAAAGGAGTAACTGTTCCTACACCCTTTATAGCAGGCTAATTAGTAAAGGTATCCTCCTGCACAATTCTTATATAAAATACCTGGGAGAAGTGGTGGCTTTACCAAACCTAAACCAAAAATTATGAGGGCTACAAAAGGACAGGGAAATATGGCTAAAATTATGATCAATCAATCAATCTCCACAAAACAAGCCAAAAAATAGGCAGCCCTCTGAATTACTTGACGGGTATTTAAAGCAACTGCCTTAAGATGCTTAATGAGCTAAAAAAGATAACAGAGATAGATAACTAAATAAAATCTGGCAACCATTACATGAAAAGAAAAAGAATATCAATCCAGGAGAAACTACTCAAACCAAAAGAACAGAAATTCTGGAGCTGAAATATGATAACTGAAGTAATAATTCACTAAGGGATTCAACAGCAGACTGCAAAAGGAACAGAAAACAATGAGCAAACTGAAAGATACATTATTCGAAAGAATCGGCTCCATAGAGCAAAAAGAAAAAATGATGAAGAAAACCAACCCTAGTACATTTTTGAGATACTATCAGGTGGAACAATATACAAACTATTGGAGATTCACAGGAAGACAGAGGATTCGAAATCACCATTGTAGAAATAATGTTCAAACATCCTCAATCTAAGGAAAGAAATGAATATACAAATTCAAGAAGCTTGACCATGCTAACTAAAACTAACCCAAGGACATTCACACAGAGACATACTATAAAGAAATTATCAAAAGTCAAAGACAAAGAAACAATCTTGATAGTAGCAACAAAAAAAGACTTGTCAAATAAAGGGAAACTGTATAACATTCTGTATATTCTTCAACAGAAACTTTGTAGGCTAGAAGGCAGTGAGAGGATATGTTGAAAACATTTAAAGAAAAAAATGGCAAAAATACCAAGAATACTATATTTAGTAACATTCACCTGCAAAAATAAGAAATGTAGATGTTCTTAGAAAATGAAGAGCTGAGGGAGTGCACTGGTATTCTAGACTTGCCCAACAAGAAATGCTAAAGGGAATGCATCAATGTAAAATAAAAGGTCTCTAAATAGTATCTTTAACCTCAATGAAAATAGAAAGTTCACCATTAAAGGTCAGTAAATAATCAAATATAGAGATATTTATTATTACCCTTTTCTTTTGTAACTTGACTTTTAATGGTTTTTGTGTTTGTTTTTTGAGACAGAGTCTTGCTCTGTCACCCAGGCTGGAGTGCAGTGGTGCGATCTCGGCTCACTGCAACCTCCACCTCCCGAGTTCAAGCAATTCTCCCACCTCAGCCTCCCAAGTAGTAGCTGGGATTATAGGCATGCATTACCACACCTGGCTAATTTTTGTATTTTTAGTAGAGATGGGGTTTTGCCATATCAGCCAGGCATGACCTCAGGTGATCCACCTGCCTCAGCCTCCCATAATTCTTTCCTAGCAATTAAAAGACAAAATCATTTTAAAAGCGCTATATATGTATGTTAATGGGACCATAACGTATATCAAAATAATGTCTGCCATTAATAACAGAAAGTGAGAGTAGAGTTGTGAAGTAGACCTTTCTGTACCTAATAAAAGTTACGCTGTTAATATTTCAAAATAGAATGTTTTAATTTCACAGTATTTGAAGTACCTGCAATGCTAACCACAAAAAAAAAATATATCGGACACACACACGAGATGGGATTCAAGTCTGTCACTACAATGAAACAAGCAAAACACTACAGAAGGCAGTAAGAAAGAAACGTAGGAAAAAGATCTACAAGATATTAAATAATCTACAGATAATAATCTAATATGTATTCTTTTGTTTTTTTTTTTTTTTTTGAGACGGAGTCTCGCTCTGTCGCACAGGCTGGAGTGCAGTGGCGCGATCTCGGCTCACTGCAAGCTCCGCCTCCCAGGTTCACGCCATTCTCCTACCTCAGCCTCTTTTGTTTTTAATAGTTTCTATGTTTGATACTCTCCTTCTTTTCATGTAATGTTGGCCTGATTTAACTTTGGAATCAGAAGAAAACAAGATTTACTAAATCCTATCTGCAAGAAACTCCCTTTAATTCTAAGGACACAAACAAGCTGAAATGGAAAGGATGGAAAAATACATTCCATGCAAACAGTAACCAGCAGAAAGTACAGGTGGCAGTGTTAATATGAGAGAACAGACTTCTACTCAAAAATCATGAGAGACAAAGATTATTATAAAATGATGAAAGACTCGATTCACCAAGAAGATATAACAATTATAAATATATAAACACCAAGTGTCAGAGCTCCTAAGTACAGAATGATGCTGGGTGCAGTGGCTCATGCCTGTAATCCCAGCCCTTTGGGAGACTGAGGCAGGAGGATTACTAGAGCCTGAGCAACATACTGAGACTCCATCTCTATTAAAAGTAGTAAGTAAATAAATAAAAACTAAGTATAGAATGGAAACTTGGGCCGGGCGCAGTGGCTCAAGCCTGTAATCCCAGCACTTTGGGAGGCCAAGATGGGCGGATCATAAGGTTGGGAGATCAAGACCATCCTGGCTAACCCGGTGAAACCCTGTCTCTACTAAAAAATACAAAAAATTAGCCGGGCGTGGTGGCAGGCGCCTATAGTCCCAGCTACTCAGGAGGCTGAGGCAGGAGAATGGCGTGAACCCGGGAGGCGGAGCTTGCAGTGAGCTGAGATCCGGCCACTGCACTCCAGCCTGGGTGACAGAGCGAGACTCCGTCTCAAAAAAAAAAAAAGAAAGGAAACTTGATAGAACTCCAAAGAGAAATATTGTTCCACAATATTATAGTTGAATTCAATATTCTAGTTCTGAAAATGGATAGAACCAGACAGAAGAACAATAAAGAAACTGAGGATTCTGGTTGGGAGCAGTGGCTCCTGCTTGTAATTCCAACACTCTGGAAGGCTGAGGTGGGAAGATCACTTGATCCTAGGGGTTCAAGTCCAGCCTGGGCAACAAAGCAAGACCCTGTCTCCACAAAAAAACTTTAAAAATTAGCCAGGCATGGTGGTGCATGCCTGTAGTCCCAGCTGCTTGGGAGGCTGAGGCAGGAGGATCACTTGAAGCCAGGAGATGCAGGCTACTATAAGGTATGACAGTACCACTGCACTCCAGCCTGGGCAGAAGAGCAAGAATATATCTAAAACGGAAAAAAAAAAAAAAAAAAAAGGAAATGGAAGACTCAAACACTACTACAGACCCATGAGACATACGAGATATATACAGAACACACCACCCAAAACAGCAGAATACAAATTTTTCTCCAATTTCCATGGAACAACTTCCAGAATAGACCTCACAGTAGGATATACAATGAATTTTTGAAGATTTAAGGCCGAGCACAGTGGCTCATGCCTATAATCACAGCACTTTGAGAGGCCGAGGTGGGTGGATTGCTTGAGCTCAGGAAGTCGAGGCTGCAGTGAGCTGTGATCATGCTAATGCATGGCCTGGGCAACAGAGTGAGACTTGGTCTTAAAAGAAAAAAAAAATCTGGAATCATATAAACAATTGATTCCCATCATCATGAAACATAACCAGAAATTAACAGCAGAGGAAAAATGTATTAAGTCCACAAATATGTGCAATTTTAACAACACACTTAAAAAACCCAAGGGTTGAAAAAAGAAATCACAAGAAAAATTAGAAAATATCTTGATACAAAGAAAAGCAGAAACACAACACACTAGAACTCGGAATGTAACAACAATAGTACTGGGAAGGGTATTATGACACCGTCTGTTTACATTAAAAAACAAACAAACAAATGGGCCAGGCACACTGGCTCGCACTCGTAACCTCAGCACTGTGAGAGGCCAAGCAGAAGCCCAGTTCAAGACCAGCTTAAGCAACACAGCAAGACCCCATCTCTACTAAAAATTAAAAAAATTACCTGGGCATAGTGGCACATGCCTGTGATCCCCACTAATGGAGAGGCTGAAGCAGGAGAATTGCTTGAGCTCAGGAGTTCGAGGCTAGAGTGAACCACGATCGTGTCATTGAACTTCAGCCTTATTACCAGGCTACCGTCATCAAAACAGAACTCTAGTTCTTCAAACTTATTACCAAGCTACCTTCATCAAAACAGAACTGTAGTGACATGAAGACAGATGAATAAACTAAGAGAGAACAAAGAGGCCAGAAACAAACCCTCAAAACTGTGGTTAAATCGTGTTCCATAAAAATGCCAAAACCACGTGAAGAGAAAAGGACAGCCACTTCAACAGATAGTGCTCCGGAAATTGGATATCTACATGCAAAGGAATGAAGTTGAACACTTACTTTACACCCTATGCACAAATTAACTTAAGAGTTGATTTATGACCTAAAATTAAGACCAAAAACTATAAAACTCCTGGAAAAAATAATAGATAAAAAGCTTTATGACAGTGGATTCAACAATGTTTTTTCCTGGCTATAACCTCAATGGAACAAGAAAGAAGGTAAAAATACATAAAATGCACTACAATAAGACAGATAATGATTGTGAATGCAGGAAAACAATTGCCAGAGTGAAAAGGAAACTTACTAAATGTAACAAAATATTTGCAAATCAAATCTCTAAGACATTAATATCTAAGATATATGCAACTCATACGAATAAAAAGATATTTCATTTAATATTATTGAATAAAA